AGTTTTCTTCGGTGCCAGTTTAAGGTTAAATCTGGTCAACCTCTCAAAGAAGTGTGTCATATCAACCACATGTTCTCTTCCACTTTTTGAGAAAATCACAATGTCGTCAATAAACAACTTGCACCTCTCAAGACCTTCACACACGCGTAACATTATGCTTTGGAACCAACCAGGAGGACTGGCTAATCCCATCGGGCATCGAGTCCATTCATAATTCCCGAATGTCGTACATACCGCAGTGATAGGTATACTATCAGGGTGAATCGCGCACTGGAAAAATCCAGAGATCAGGTCCATCGTACTGAACACCTTGGCTCCTTCCAAGCCTGACAACAAATCGGCAACCGTAGGCAAGGGCAGCACCGGGATTATAGACTGTTGGTTGACCTTTTTGTAATTGCAAGTCAAACGAATTTTTCCGTTCGCTTTAGCCACCACAACTAACGGAGAAGACCAATCGGAATACGACCTTCGTAATATTCCCGCGAGCAACAGACGATCGATCTCGCACTGCACTTTGGCCGCGATTACAGGCGAATGGCGATATGGTCTTTGCTTGACAGGTTGTGCGTCCTTCTTCAATATGATTCGGAAGGGATCCACTGTAACGTAACCCATATCTGTAGGGTGTTCGGAAAATCTATCTTCCACGTTACAAAGTAAATCAGCAAGATCATTAATGTCCGAAGAGGTCCACAATTTTGCCTCAAAATCAAATTTAATTGATTGTAGATGAACCGGAATTTTATCCCATAAATTCCTAAACGCTTGTTGTTGGTCACCATCCAATCCACGCAATACAGCTTCAGGCGGATCTTTGATTCTCTCACCCTCTTTGACTTGCCCGTCAGGAACATCTTCCGCGACTGCTCCGACGTGTACGTCTGGCCCAGAACTTGGTAGTTCCTCCAAGACACCTAGCTCTAGCTTGGCACCCCCTGATCCCAAGCGCATCCCCGTCTGAACCAGGAAGTTTTCTTCACCCGTCCGGTGCAAAGGGATCTCCGTTGTTCCAGCATCGACAATGGCCTCCTGTGGGGACCATCCATTTGCAAAACGGACATAATAGGAGCCTTTATCAGCATCAGTGCCATCTGAGTTTTTCAGTTCCACCTTAACCCAGGATAGAGCATCAGGCAATCTCATGGGACGACCCGCATATCGCACGATGACTTTCTTATCAGATTTGGGTTCAACCCAGCTAATCGCATCATTTACCCACGCGGAAAACTCCGGATCCGTCGCTGGCGAATCCTTAATGGACCCCATGAAAGTCACTATGGTTTCGTCGTCACTGACGTCCACGTATTTTCTTTGGGGAAAATCTTCCCAGCTGTCTCGACCCTATAAAACAGCATGCGTCATGGTTTTGTCCGGAACGACATTAGCGAAAACTGCCAAGCATGCAGTACTAGCGCCAATATTGCGTGGTGCGTGTCGGCCACCCCGCCACATATGCACATTTATTCGAATTCGCTTCGACGTTTTTAACGGAACACCATTGAAACCACCCCATTGCAATGTGTTTCCTGCTAGGATCCCATCATCGGATGCTGCCCCACACGCGAGCATTTGGGTCACAGCGGTTTCTTTTATAAAAGAAGCAGGGCTTCCGGTATCTAACAATGCCTCACATCCAAATGTGTGGGTCGCTTTAGATCCTGCAAACAAGGACACTGCAGCGGTGTGATTGCTTCTGTTCAAAGTCACATCACCGCCTACCACGCGCGAAAATTCTTTCAAATAATCCGCTCGTTCACCCGATTGAAGTGAGGGTTGTGGAGGAGGAAAAACCTTTCCACAATGTGGACTTTTGGCAAGCCTTTCCTTGTTGTTATTTAACGCGAAAATGTTATCTTCATTTTTCGCACTGAAATTAACACTACTACCCTCTGCAGCATCATCACCGATATTAGGTTCAATTATCGGTGAAAGGGTTCCTGCTGAGCAAGCAGCATTTTTGTCAACCTGCATAGCTCTCCCTTTAGTCGTTGCATCGTATTTATCTATCTCACGATGAACACTTAGTTGTGCAGAATCAACGTCATCACTTGCCTTCAGGATTGACGTGCGGGAACCTGCAGAGCCGGCAGTCCTCGGAGTTCCTCGACCCAGGAACCCGGTCACCCTGGACAACTGCCGTGCTCGCCCTTTTGCAAAACCACCCCGAGTGACCTGACCTATGGGGGGTACAAACTTCGCCTGGCCGGACGAAGGGGGTCCACTCATAACCCCTGCAGCTACAGACATTGACGACTTGAGCGTTGTATCTTTGACTGCTACACTCGAAAAATCAGAACCTCGCGTTCCGTATGACTTTCCGCTTCGAACGTCAACGTTCATCGGGGGCCTATTCCGACGATTGTCACCATTCGGACGGCCAACTTCCTGAACAGAATGTGGAACTTCAACAGTTGTCACATCGGAACTAGGAGTTGTGCACTTTGGTGTTTTTGTGGGCACTCCAGACATTGGAAAGGGGTAATTACGTCCTTTCTCTCGGTGCTCGAGGTCCGCGACATCAACACCGTTGTTACCGCTTGTCTCAAGATTCGTGGCGTGCAACACGGATCTCTCATTTTCTATCTTTTCGGTCGTTGGAGGTTCTTTGTTTACTCCAAACTTTCTGTTTCCCAAAGCAACACGCACGTCTTGGGACATAATGTGCGTTTTTGGCCGCTCTGCTATCAACAAGTGGGCCGGGTCGTTGTTGACATGTCACCCGCTGCTACGGTTCCCACGGTTGAATCTTTTCTTCCGTTGGGTATCCGCCCACGAGCACAACCTCTGTTGCCAACGGCGCCAATTTTTTTCCACCGTCTCGGGGTCACCAACGGCAATGTCGGGATGGATCAAGCCCGACACATTCATGAGTTTGTCAGGGCATTCTCTCGCCAAGTGGAACGGTTCTTCCACACCACAATTAAGACACTTTGGGCCGAACTCTCGCCGAGCTCGGTCCCGTTCTTTATTATTAGTAAACTGCACGTAGAAGGGTGGGTCATCATCGTTGCGCCCAAACCCCTTGTTCCCGCGCGACACCTGACTAACCTGCCAGAATTCCCGCGACTCGTCGTCATACTGGGCCACTGTCATGACCGCACGCGCACCCGCACTACCTTGCGGGGTCAGGGAACCGCTTTTGGCCCCAGAAAATGAACCACCACCACCGTATCTACCTCGGGAGCTAACCGACATGTCAGCTTGCCCTCGTGGCAGGACGGACCCTACTCCTCGCAAACGCACGGAAGCCGTTGCAGTAGTAGTATTGTCGGTCATATCATCCAGAGCCTCCATGAGACTCTCCAGCGAGTCATAGGGTAAGGCCTGCGTGTTCCTACCATGAAACACTGGTGCGGTCAACGTAGCATACTGATCGGTGACACCTGCCTTCACGGCGACTTGCAGTGTACCATCTTCTGCAAAGCCAACCATCTGAACACTTTCGACTAACACCTTCAGGTCTTCAAGATACGCTTTGAAGGTCGTGCCAGCCGGAACCGCAAAGTTCTGTAGCTGTTGCAGTACCAGCGCCGGCGTCACCGTGCTCAGCCCGCTGCAGACGGCCCGCAGCAGCAGTTGCAGAGCGTCCGGCCCACTCATGCCCGAATCCATCGCTCTGACGGACTGGTTGACCGCCGCCACTAGGATCTGTTTGGTAGCCGCAGATTTCGCGTGGTTTTTTCGAACGGAATTGATGAGGTGACGCTCTAAAACCTTTTCCCATCCTCGAACCCAATGGTCCGAGTCGAAGTCTTGCGCACTGGCGCGAATTTGCTCGACGGATTTGGTGATGGCCGAGGAGAGTTGGACGAGCTCCACGACATCATCACCGTTTTGCAACGGGGTCAAGGGCATAGTTATCAGGTTTTTGGTTGCCATCACCGCAAATTTCCCCCGTATAGCATTGTTGTGCTCGGTTTTGACAGGGTCGTTTGCGGCAGGATCGGGAGTCGGTCGTGTTACCTCGGCTAGAGGAGCGACAGGTGTAACCGGCTCGCTTTTTCCCAACGCAGGTTTGGTTTCCGGTTTAACGGTAGGATCGGACTGAAATTTGACAGCCGCACCTTGACGTTGCACTTGACGTCGACAGTGCGAAGTAATCACAAATTTCGGATGTCTCAGACAATGCCAACCACTTCTCTTCATACCGCGACGTGACGTCTACCTCGGCGTTTTCTCAGAGCCTTGTCGGTCTGAGGGTTCTTGCAACAACGTTAGCGCACCAGGAAGTACAGGCAACCCCGATCTCTCCCCTACCGTACCGCGCTACATTTTCCCTTCTCCTTGCGTCATCATCCGGAAAGTAATTCATGCTTGCAATCACTGAGAGACTCCCCTTGCAAGGCCACGGTGTTCGTTGAGGAGCGTTGCGACCAACACTTAGCAAATCTCATCAGAACCATCACGTTCATCGCATTTCACTAGTACCGGTAGCGTGGGAATCTGGCTGACCAATGGAATGACATCCGTGCCAGCGAGTAAAACTTGCTGTGACAGGTCTGGAAGGGGGGCAAAATCGAAAAAAGCGCAACAACCCTCTGAAATGTGAACGCCAATACCGATCTCCCGGCGTGGGCGTCCGCGAAGGCTTGCTGTCCTCTACAATGTACAGCGCCGACATCTTTCTTGATCCTGACCGCCCATGCAGTCAAACATGTGTGGAGATGTTCGTAGCACCGTTTCTCGCTCCGACCAGTCATTAAACAATCTCTTCTTCTGTCAACGATGCAGTGTCGGAACGCTGGTCGGTCCAACTCGCTGGTCTAGAATTGAAGATCCAGCATGACTCTACTAGCCGTACTCCACATTCCGTCATCCAACACCAGAACCGACCCAGAACGAACCACAGAAGCGAGGCGATCCAGACAAGGCAAGTCGTGTACATGTATCAATTTGGGATATGTCAACCGGCCCGGTTGACAGCAGCGTGTGGGATCGATAGCAAACCTCTCCTGGCCTAGCCCCAAGAAAGAAGTCATCAAGAGTGGGAAGAACGTTGTCGCAAAGCTGCCACGTCATTCGCATTGGCTCCGCGGGTCCTATATCAGAAACATCGCGTGCTGAAGATGGCTGCGGCATACAAGCAGACGGTTTGCCGTCTATTGGCAAAGGTAGTTGAGGGTGCTGTTGTTTGTTTTGCTTCACATTAAACTCGTGTCAGTTGCTAATCCCAAAATCTAG